CTAGTCCCGTGTACATCGGTGTGGAGAGGTTGACGCACAGTACATGGGATTCTGCCAAAACCTCCGAAATGCGAAAGAACTTTTGCCTGGAGACGGCCAGCACGGCCGGGGCAGAGCGGACAAGAGTCCTGAGTCAGCGCACGGCTTGGACTCGGGTTCAGTCAGTGAATAGTTCCAACCGAACGCTCACGTAACCGTCGTGCCCAATATCTGTCCGGCGTTTTTTGCTTCTTCAGGTTATGCCAAAAACTCGTATTTCTTTTTTATGTCACAGGTGTTGGTTCAATGCAGCGACGGTAGTGATGATTAGTCAAATAAATGGTAGATTTGTAACGCCGCTATTTGTCTTTGTATCCGCCTACAGATTGTCGTGAAGAAAATTTTCTGAGTTCTGTTCACGCCCAGTTTTCAAATCTGGTGGAAAGAAAGCAGAAAAACAAAACCACAACTATCTCGTATGGCATATTATACTTTCGAAAACTTTAAAAAGTGTTTGGTTTAAGCAATGTTCAGCTTCAATACTGCAAATACTTTTGAGACTAGTAGTAGAATCAGCAACGTTTAGTTCATTGTTCAAGTGATCGCGATCGTTAAATTTTAATCGCATATCTGGAAGATGCTATATGTTAGCATAAGATACCTTATCTACGAGCCAGGTCCGTAGCCAGGAATGTTTTTAGGGAGGGGCCTCCATGCTGAGGCCACGACTTTTAGGCATTGGTAAAGAGAGGGGGGTGAGGATCAGGAATAAAAGGGCATCCGTGGAGCCGCCGGGGCCCCAAAGTCTTTCTGAGTAAACGAAGCGATGAGCATTTGATTTGCAAGCTCGTCACCATTCGAAAGGCTTATATAATCTGCCTTTCGAAGCGGTCACGAAGACTCGACAGCGTTATCGTGGCGGCCAAGTCCGGAGCGCAGCCGCGACATCGCGCGACTTTGCGTGTCTATCGGGTGCTAACTATTCGGCGCGGCGTCCTCTCCATCTTGGTCATGCTCGCGGAACCGCTTCTTTACGCAGCGACCCGTTTGGCCGATGTATTCATCGCCGAACGACATGGGCATTGAAATATCTGCTCAGTCTTGCACGTGGTGATCCTGCTAGCATATTTCTTGGTGCAGCTGGGCGACGAGAACTCCTCTCTGTTTACCGACTTGTACAAGTCTTCCCCATCTTGATTTGATGTGAAAACTACAGCTGTGTCGAATCTGGAGGCTTTTGACTTAAACAGGTGGGCCATCGTGTGTATGTACAGTGAAACCGGTTGAGAACAAACCTACGTACAGTGAATTATTGTCGATATATCGAACTCATAAAAATTTAAATAAAATGCATGTAAAATGTAGTTTATATAAAGAACAACATATTGGCTATATCGCACGCTTTTCCCGGGGAATGCTTCCAAAAACACGCAAACAGTCGTGTTCTAACGTGCCCCCTCCCCCTCCCCCAAGAAAAAAAGGAGAATAGGAAAAAAAGTAGAAAACAAACAAAAAAGTGAAAGCCGTTTACAACTCCTTGTAACGCCGAATTGGAGCGCAGCTCTTGAGGAGGAGGAGTGAAGGGTACTGAGGGGAGGGTAGACCCCTCCTCCTTCTCCTCCTCCTCCTCCCCTCATTCTTTAATATGCTCCGGCGGGGTCACGTGACCTCGGGGCGGGGGGGTGTCACGTGATTTCGGGGAGGGGGGTCACGTGACCTCGGGTAGGCTTGACCTGAGGGGTCACGTGACCTTGACGCGACCTTGGGGGGTCACGTGACCTTGGGGTGTCACGTGGGATCACCTTGGGGGTCACGTGACCTTGAGGTGACCTTGGGAGGAGTCACGTGACCTGGAGGGGTCACGTTACCTTGGGGTGACCTTGGGGGTCACGTGACCTAGAAATGACCTTGGTTACGCCGACGGCGACGGCGACGCCGCTCAAGCCGGAAACGGGCGCCTAAGAGCTGCGCTCTAAAATCAAAAGCTCGAGCCGCGAAAAAAAATTGACAAAGTGAAGCGATTCAGAAGGGAGTAACTAAAAAAAAAAAAAAAACACTACATTCACGCACCGAAAAAAAAAAACTTCATCCCAAAGCGCTAGCCCGCGAAGAGAAGGATCCAGAAGAGGAGATAAGCTAAAAAACAAACACTGCACGGATGCAAAAAAAAAAAAAAAAAAACATTTTAGCGTTTTTTTACAAGGTGGAAGGGAAGATATGAGAAAGAAAGAGAAGCACTCGCCTTACAACGAACGCATTGTGGAAGTTCGTTGTAAATGTTTTTGCTATATCGAACTACTTGCTATATCGAACTACTTGGTATATCGAACTGATCGTACCGTTTCCTGCTGTTCGTTATAAACGAGTTTGAGTGTAGAGAGCTGGAACCGACGTGTTTGTGACTAAAAAGAAAGAAAGAAGTGATCTTTGCGCTTGACATTCACGAAGCCATCCTGGAGCTCGCCCCCCCCCCCCCCCCCCGCGCCACACACACCCCAAAATATGGGAAGGGGCGGGGTGCGGCACCCCCCCCCCCCACCCTCTGATTATGGGCCTGCTACGAGAGATGATTGAAGAGAAGTGACCCTACCTGGGAATAGGTTAGCTAATTATAACGAAACCTCTACAGCAGGTAGCGCAACCTTCTTGCACCATATAGCGGAAATTGTTGGTCGCCACTGCCGAGAAATGACCCTTTCTCACTGCCCGCGCTTCCTTAGGGAAGATCCATGAACGCTCCTTTTAAAGGGACCATGAAATGATTTTAAAATCTAATTTCATCCACCGCACGTCGTAAAAGGTGTGAAAAGAAACACAAAAACATAAAAATAGGGAGCCAAAAAAAATTATTTGCTATAGAACTTTTAAAAGAAAACTGGACTCTTTTGCGACTTCTTTCCTTCGAAAGCTCTGCCTTTTCACTACGATGCATCCGCAGAAATGGAGCACGTCAGCCGAATCCACGTCGCCTATTGGGTAAGAGCCTACCTCACCAGCACCGCGATCGTAAACAATAAATAGCCGGCGAATGTTTCCTAAAAGTTTTGTTAAATAATATTCAGACCCACATTTTGTAGCACAATTAGAGATGTGTGGCGAAAATTGCCAAATTTGATAATGCTGAGAGCCAAGCGCCATCTATCGTGTGGTAAACGAAGCAACTACTGCGCGTGCGCAGTAAGGCAGGGCTGGCAGGGCCGGCTTCAGAACGGTTATTTCCTTTGGTTTCCTTCCTCTCAAAACTCTGACTGACTGAACGTTTATTTTTCTACGTGTTCATCTCGCGCGTGCCGACTTCAAGCAGCAAGAAAAAAATGTACTTAAAACAGACCACGACGAACAAGAACGCTGGATCCACAAACACCCGAGAAGAGCGACAACAGCCGCGAATCGCGCTCCGACGAAGCTCTCAGAATATAGGCCTAGCAGGCACTCCGACTCGGCGCAGCGTTGCTTCATCGCAGGACCGTCTGTCTGCCTGCGACCGGCTGGCGTGCTGAGTGGAATATGCCCGCGCTACCCTTGTGGGGTACCCTTGTGGACCCTTCCCGTATAATAGTTTGATCGCTGACCTCAATTTTACGTTAAGAGGTGAGGTCAATCTCTTCCCCTTGTTTTCCGAGGCAGTGTTGACGAACACTCGTCGAGAAGGGACCCTCGTCGATTCTCTCTTCTTGTTTTGTGTGATATAGAGCTGAAATAAACGCTGTATGGATTACCTTCGTAACACGGTATGTACACTTTGTTATTGGTATGCCACTTTTATCCTGACAGACTGCACGTCACTGTCGAGCTGTAACAGTTCGTGAGAGGTATACGTGCAATACCGGTCCAACCTTTCTTTGCCGAGTGTCGCGTCAGTATCGAGTTGCAATCGTAAAAGATCGGTCCCGAAGCGCTTACCAACAGCGCGAATACAGCACTTCCATCAAAAGCGCGCGTCCGCTCCGAGTGTTAACAGGTATTTACGTGGCTCTTGCTGACACTCGTAGTTCAAACGTATCTTTTTTAACGTCGGCTCGCTCCTGCATCTCCGAGACCGCGAAAAACGCCGCGGCAATTTGTTTCAATCTACGTCGCTTTGCAAACGACTGACACGGGCCGGCCCTTTTGCCAACAATGACAGTTGGGTTGACTTCTGGAGTCTTCACCGGAAGACTCGCTGCACTTCCCAACAGGCATACCGGTGTATGGGACTAGTCCCATGCTGTCGCTGTAGCGCAACATATCTCGTTGAATTTCGCTCAGCTGCGATGCGGCGATGAGAGGCGCCGATTCAGAAAATACATCGGTGACATCGGCGCAGTAAAACCTACCGGCGCACCCCAACTCGTCGCCGCTAATGCTCCCATCTCCTACTGCCGAGAGAAGTTCCGGTTCCGGAAATAGCGTACGTCACGGCTTGTTTTGCGGTCAAGAAAAAGTCGATATTTCATTAATTTTTTGTGTAGAAGTTAATAAACCGAGACGAAAACGGATGCCTGTTCGGCATTCAGTGAACATTGACGGTTTAATGTAAAAGTTATCTGGAAAAAGTAAAAAAGTCATTTCATGGTCCCTTTAACTTTTATTCTACCCATCCTACTCGCCGGATTGGGCACCATCAGTCTTTACATATCTTCCCTGCACTCAAACGACATTTCAAGGGACGGCATTTCTGACCAAGACAAGTTGATATTTTTTTCTTCATGAGTTTGCAGCAATGAAGCACTACTGGGAGAAGTGCGTTACACTCAAAGGAGATCACGTCCAGAAATTCCAAAGTGCCATTTACGTGGGACAACTTTTGCGCGGGAGGGTTCACTACCCGCACAAATGTGACAATTTATTTTTGTTATAAATTCAATGCTTTACAAATATTGCATTCTTTGTAATATTAGGTTAAAGGGGACGCACTGTCAATGTGACTTGCGCAGTCATGTTATCGAGTTGAATTAATTTTCGACCTGGCACTTGAATTGGAGTAAACAAACTGCAAACGATTCGTTCACAGTCGCACAAAGAGGGTATCTCCAACTTACGTCGCATTGCTCCAGCGAGTACAAACCGCATGGGGAGCTCATAATTCCTAAATAGCTGTACGGCAGTGGGTATACCAGTGAATAAGGTACATCTCTCCAACATCCAATGTTGCTTTCATGCACTCCTCTGAAACACACAAATTGCGGAACGTTACCAGATATTTATATGAGCGCGTCACAACAGAAGAAAAGCATATGCGTAATTTTTGTTCCTTTCTTTGTAACCAACGAAACGAGTGCGCACCTACGGGAAAGCGGTAATAAGATAAATTAAGAGAGATACATATTTCGAATTGGCAAGAGGAAGCGAACTAACTACCGCAATGATTTTGAGCACGACGTTCAACTATTCCACCAAGGAGGAGATTTTTTTCCCCTTTATTGATCAAGGAAGGAGCTTGTGATGCGGTGCCTATTAAAAACAATATAATCTATTTTATGAAGTGACATCACGGAACGTGGGAACAGCGTGAGCGCGTAGCCGCGATTGTTATTTTTCAAGTGTTAGATAAGAAAAAAGAAAAGGATATGGGGTCGTCCGAGAGCGTCCCATGCATTTTGTGTTTGGCGAAACACTCCATCAGACAGTCTGGCAGACACCTTTATAGTCGGCCTTCCCTCACTGTAAGAAACACTTCGTTTCGCCTGCAGTCTTAGAGAATCTCGTGAATGTCTGAGGGTCCGGCTGTTTGTAATTGATGGTCACAGTCGGGGGTTGGAGCACGTTAGCATCTTTGTCAGACATGGCCGGTTGTCCGATTGTGCGTCCACGGCGCTGCTCCGGATTTGGATAACGATTGCGAGAAGGGGAATGCCTCACCTCGTCCAACCTGTAAAATTGTGGATGAATCCACGACTGTATTGCAATAGTGTCTGCCAGGCTGTTGGAAATAGCGTTTCGTCAAACGCTAAATACACGGGCCCTTCCAGTATGGTCCCCACTAGCACCTCATTTTTAAAGGGCAACACCGGTCCATACTTTCATTTTTTGGATTATGAGTGTTTTTAGTGCAGTCAGCGTCCCTGAATTGCAAGGTGTAAATTTTTTCTCGTTATTGTGCGTAGTTTTAAAGATATCGACGCCTCAAAGGTTTGTTGGGGGGCGCGGCCAACAAAACCGAAACTAGCCGCTCGAGGTCCCGGCAACACTGGAAATCAGCCGCTATGTGAACGTGACGTCAGGATCGTTCTCGTTCAACGAGTACGCAGGCCGAGCGGCACCTACCTCTGTTGCGCTAGCCGTCTAAAGGTAGAAGGTAAGCTGATTTTGTTTTAATTCTGTATACGTGGTAATTATCCAGCATATGAAGGAAGAGTTAGTGCGTATACCCAAAAGCTAGCGACTGGAAAACCCGTGAACTCGTTCGGTGCCGCACTCGGCGGCCGCCGCCGCCGTACGTGCACTATGCCGTACTCGTCGCTTGTATACCCAAAAGCTAGCGACTGGAAAACAAGTGAACTCGTTCGGTGCCGTACTCGGCGGCTATCGCCGTGCGTACGGTCCTCCGTATTCGTCGCTAGGCCTAAATTTTCATCACGGCTTTGTAGATGCAGCGGTGTTCCTCCACGCCGCGCTTCCAGTGACGTACAGTACTGGGGGCCCTCTCGCTTTCGCGCTGCGGTTCAGTCCCAGACTCGAAGCTTTGAGGCTCTCCGGCGTGGGCCGCGGCGCCCGGACACACGTGTGCTGGGCTGTGCACGTCTCTTTTTTCGTTCTTTTTTTCTCGGGCGCGTAAAAGCCGAATTCCAAAGTACACTCGTCGAAACACCGTTCACCCACACCTTCTCCAATTTCCGGTGCGTTGGAAACTTGTGAAAAAGCACCTCCAGGTTGTGCAGCGGGTTGTTTGAGCAGCCCACAGCGCTACAAGTTGCACTCGGCATCTTTCGAGGAACAGCTGGGCAGTCTTAGGCGCATCAGGTTGCTCGCTGAAACGAGTCTTGGAGTCCTCACAAGCAAATAAACAAAAGGCTATACCGAAGCTACACGGGCTACAGATAAAAGCAACGGCTAAACACGCCAATCACAAGCCGAAGTAGCGGTGGTAGCGGCTCAAAGAAGCGCACTCCGCGCAACGCCCGGGCTGGAGGAAAAAATGAGGATGATACTGACTTCAAGGCCCAATGTTGCTTTAGCGATCGGCAACCCGCTGGCCGCCCGCTAAAGAGCAGCGGCTCGCGGCGGGTCGCATTTTTATTATCGGCATTAGTTGAGAATGCGGCGTCCTACGGACGTAATATTTTGGCTGGAGTCGTATTTTGCGTCGCTACAGCGATACCAGTAATTTATTTCATTTTGAGTTTTGGCCGGAGTTGCCCTTTAAAGGGTAACTGCAAAGAAAAAAAAGATTTTTTTTAAACAGCCTAATTGGGACAAGCATGTCGAAAAACAAATTTTCCACGAGAAAAACAATTTTTTTTCAGCAATATTTATTGCGTGAGACCGATTTTAGTTTGCGGCTATTTCGCCCGTTTTAAATCGCGCGCCACGAAGTTGGGATTCCGTGACGTTAATCCCAATCGGCTCTCATTGGCTAAGAGTTTGATTGACAGCTTAGATCTTGGTTGTTTAACCTTTGTTATTTGTTGCAATTTCCTTTTGAGCGGCATATTTTTACGTTTAAAGAAGAACCCATGTGATGAGAGTTATTATTCTTTACAAAAGGTTTACAAGACGGGCACTTCCGTTTGGATTCATATCATAACAAACAAAAGCTTCGCCATTCTTTCATGGCCGCCGAAGTCTCTGCTCACGCCTGTCTCGCCTACCTCGACTAATTGTTTCGGCGAAGTGATCAGTGTTTCGTGCTGACCCAGGTGCTTGAGTGAGACTTCTTGAAGTGAAGTAGTGTGTGTTTAGCAGCTGTTGCAGGTGTTAGTGATAGGAAGCGACGCGGGGTTTTGGCTTTCATAGCGCGGTTCTTTCATTGTCCTCTTTGCTTGCTTAGCGTGCTTTTTTTGTGTTTGTTTTGCTTGTTTGCGCGTGCAAATGCTGACTTTTCGGAGATGAAAGATGCGTGATCCCGACAGTGAGCCTTCTAGCAGCCATTTCGCCCCGAAAGGAATGCTATTTGGCTGGAGGCAATCGGGCGTTCGCGTAGCGACAAACGTGTCCAGTTACGTTCTCGTCATACCGCTCCGGAGGTCATCGAGATTCCCACGGGGCGCACTTAACGTCCACAACTAGACACACAAAATAAAAAAGCACCATGTTCACTACGTAAAAAGTGGTCTCAGTTCATGCATCTGTAGACAGGTACGAAATCTTGCCCAAATTTATTCACACCGCACGACGAGCGCAACACGTCGCTGTGCAAACGCAGTCCAACAACACGAAGCATAAAAACGGCAGATTTAGGAGAACAATTCGGAGTCCATTGTTCGATTAAAACGACGTAATTTATTTGAAAACGGCCGCAAAATCTTTCACATTTTGAAACAGAACGAAGGAAGATTTACTTTTAAAAACGCTCACTGCGTCCTCCCGGGCCTGTTTTACTGGATCAGCTGACGACGACGGGACTGGACCCTTGTACATCAACCCCGCATAACACACATAGCACCGCATTACACACACCACGAACGTTTCAGCTCTGTCGCATCGCCGTGTTGCACCAAACAGAACGAGATCGCCGAAACCAACGCAGCGCCGTCGTGAACCTTGGCTTGTGGTTGCGCACTCGTGGATTCTGTGACTCCCTTCGCTTTCAAAACACGCACGACGATTACGAATGATACTTTTCGTCTTCCGGGAACATCACAGGGGCACTTCTCCGGTCACGTCTTCGCTACATGTGCTCGCAAACCGCGTCAAACCAAAACAATACCGCGGCCTGGGCTGCCTGGGCGGCCCGGCGTAGTTGCCAGATCTTGCCGGAAGTCGAGACGCTGCGTCGTTCAACTCCGCAACGCAAGGAGAGTGAGGGGCGGGGCGTACTCCTCTTCCGCGGGGGTCGAAAGAGCGGGAGTTTCAAACGTAGAGAGGTTCTGTCTCTACTAAATTACGTCCTGTGGCGTAAATATTGATAAAAAAAAAATCATTTTTTTCGCGGAACATTTGTTTTGTGACATGCTTGTCCCAATTAGGCTGTTTAAAAAAAAAAAACTTTTTTTTTCTTTGCAGTTACCCTTTAAGAATAAACATGTAGTTAAGAAGAAACATTTAAATTGCACTAATATTGCACCAGAAGTCGTTTGTAGATAGTGCGAGGCCCATTTGAGGAATTTCATTCGAATTGCCTTTAAATATGACAGAAAACTCGAAAAATGTCGACGATTTTTTAAAATTCTAATGGGGCTCCTACGCAGATTAATAAAGAAACGTCTACGCAGTACACGACTGCGATGTGCTATCGCAGTTCAACGACAATTTGCGCAGTGATCTCGGCAAGAAAAGCTTAAATAAAGAAATTATTTTTTGTACTAAATAAGTCGTTCAAATCTTTGAAAAAGTCTCCTATTGTTCACGGATGTGGACCAGATGTGATCACTTAAAGCCAAAATAACGAGACTTTAGATTTAGATATGTAATTATATAATGTCCTTCAACTTTTTAAAAGAAGTATGTTTTAACAGACTTACGTTTTAATTTCCAGTAGTGTCCTAATGGCCGCTCTGCCTTTAAGGTGGACGTTATATAAAAGACTTACTTCTGGGAGGCTCATAAGAGATTTATATAATCCGGAAGAAGTTTGTAGTGGAGCGTTGAGCCTGCCGTTAAGTCATAAAGAACGGCACCAAAATACATATGACGTTAATGAAGCACAATCAGATAACTCTCAAGGAGTTATATAACAATCAAGTACTGATAGAAACCCCGGTTTTTTAATTGGAACATAAATGTTAGCAAACATAGGAGATACAAAGTTCTCATATTAGCTCTTTTAGGAATATCGCCAAAACGCATTCATTCATACAAAACTTAGTGTTCACATTGTCGGCCTTATTTAGTTTACAAGGAGCATTCAATATATCAGGAATTGACAAAGAAATCACGGGATCTCACAAAACTGGCACATATTATTTTTTTCTCTGTATTCTTTTCTAAAGATCGTCATTCCGTCATGGCTTTCTCAATTTTCGTTTCGCCTTTCCTGTTTTTGCTACGGGGAACGCAGCATCAAACCAGTTCTTAAATACTTTTTGTTTGTGTTGTTCGAAACCGGAACACGATTCAAGCGTAAAATCGGTAGCTGGTCGCTTATGTCCTGACGAAAGATTCCAGGGAAAAGCGCAGTTTGCTCTATATTTGTTTCACATACATCTATGGTTCTGGAGCTCTCACTTGTTCTTCTAGTTTCTAGTTTTACTAAATTTCAGCTCGCGCAGGACGATACTAGGTCATTGAAATCTAATGCGTATATATCATTCACTATTGTGTCAAGGTTTATATCCCCATAATTAAAAAACTGTAGTTATGTTAAGGATTTAAAATAAAAAAGATGGTCAAGAAAGTCGAGAAAGCTAGCCTTCTTTCCTACTGATGGCCTATTTACCACTACAGAAATATTGTTTTCCGTAGAAACAACCAGGCACACTACATCTACATTAACTACGGACTGTTCCTGCACAGCAGTAAATGGAATGCAAGCTAGTAAATAAATAAAAACTCCACCACCTCGTTTTGCTTGCAATTTATACTAGCACAGCCGTAGTTACAAATTTTTATGGTGCCCCATTTTCACGTTACCATTTTTCGGTAAAAAATAGTGAATCAAAACGCAAACAAAGTGATTAAAAATAACACGTCAAGGGCGTCCTCTTTTCTATTTATAGTTCTTGTATTTAAACGAATTGCAAAAAGTATGAATTGCAATTTCTGCATCTCCCATCGAACTGCTCGCTATATAATATTCACATTGCTGAGCCAGCATAAACAAAAAGATGAGTATCGACGAATCGATTAGCAAGATCTTAGCTGCGTCATTTTTTTTTCCAAATGACTCAGGTGCGTTTTTTTTTTCGAAGACGTCTTTACCGTGACTTGGCCCTTTTCTCCATACAAGCAGTGAGCGAGGATAATAAAAACTTAAGCTTTCAAATTACTTACAAAAAAGCGAGCTGCTGAGCGAAATACAAGGAACCACTGAAGGTTTTCCCGTTGTCGTGAATAAACGCCACGCTCTCACTTTCGCACATTCTGCCCTGCAGGGGCAGACCTATAACGAAAGAAATGTTAAAAATACGCCGTTCCACATCTCATCTTGTTAAGAATGTAAAATTTTTTGCTGCAGAATTCTAAGTACCTATTGAATCCTGACTTATCATACCGGATGTTTCAGCGAATACTTCTATAAATGCCGTTGATAGGGTGGTTGCGAAAACAAGAAACTGTTTCCAGGAACAAGCAGTCAACCAATGTGGACGTTATATATTGCAAACCAATGATAATTACCTAAATAATGAATTAAACTCTACTTTTTACTAGTGCAAATAAACATATGGTTCCAATTGGTACTCTGCTTCGAATCATTAAAACCCACTAAGTCAAACTCAATTTGATTTCGTTTATTTAGGAGATTTATTTGTAGCATTTTCCTGATAGATAGCGCACAATTTCTCCGGAAGAAGCGAGTTGCTCGCAGCTTAGCATCCAGGTCGGGCGCTCTGGGTGGGCTGGGGCCACGGTCTGTTAGACGCCGATCTAGGCAAGCAAGAATTTGTACGGCGGCGTCCGCCACTACCGGCAGGGGCCAGCGGCCGGCGCGTGGGACGAAGAATACAGTCGAATAAATGGCTCCTATTTCGGAGTGGCTCCGAATTTGGGACTACGCTCGAACCATTCAACCCATCTGGTGAGCACCTTATTTTCTGGGGTTTTCGTGCGTTGGTTGTGCACTCGGGTTTTCAGCGTTTGCAAGTGCGTCGTTTCTGTACAGATGAAGTCGCTCTCACGTAACTGACGCCTTGACATCTTGTAGTGGCTTTTCGGCGTTCCTCGCTTGTTAATTTGGTTTCTGACGAATACGCAGCGGCGTGCTGTAATAAATGTTTTCAGCGTAAATTTGGCTGTTAATCTTTGCTCCTGTGAGTTCAGCATTTAAATTCGTGCTTGTAATGTCTAGCGTGAGAATATGCGCGAGTCACGTCGTAGGTACAAAATAGCTTCTGACCAGTGCCAATTCCAGCCCTTGAACTTACGGCGCGTGCTTTGCCCGCTTTCGGAGTCCCCGTTCACTTTCGTGCTCGGTTGTGAAGGTCGCATGCTGAGCTGTGCCATCTTCACAGCCCAGCATTTTGCAGAAAAAAAAAAGAAAAGAAAAAAGAAAAGAGCTTGTGGCCGGTGCGATCTTCAGCGCTCGTGCCTATGGCGGGTACTTTGTTCTCTTCTTTAAACGAAGGGAAATAATAGCAGTCTGGGCGGGGATTTTGTAAACATTAACACGATGTATAAGCATCTTTCAGCATCTGCTCACCATAAGGCGTTAATAAAGCATAGTGCACCCCAATTAGCGTTTTATCAAAACGCTAACAATAGTTACCTTTCGGATTTTTGTAGTTCTTATTTTTATTTCACGTATGTTGTTCGCGTGCTGACGCGTGGGGAATTTCTGAAGAAGAGCGCGCGTGTACAGATTTCAGCAAGGCTCAAAGCTACGGCACTGCACGGGGGCCTGTAGCGTTGGCGTCTTAGGCTACGTTTACATGAATACGATCGTAGCGCATCATATCGAGCAGGAACCAGTCACATGCACCCTGTCTTCCTACTTTGTCTCCTTCTTCCCTTCTACTACCAATCAAAATAGTCAAATATCGATTCGATGCGCTACGGCCGCATCCATGTAAATGCATTCATGGCCAGGGAAAAGTGTGCTACATTTGTGCCAAGCAAATTGTGCATGGCACGCGCCGCAACTTGACACTGGGCGCGGGCGAGATCGGTTTTGCCGGATAACTGCAAGACTTTCTTGCCGCATAGAGAGTGGGTCTCAATAAACCCACCTAAAATAATTAAAGCGGGTTCATTATAATTTGATGTCATTTAAATGAAATGGAGCGCAGACAGAAATGGTACACGAGCGCAACGTCGACGTTCGGCAGGAAGTTGTGCCCAGTGAACGCGTCGAAATACCTTACACGACGGAATCGGGCACAGTTAGTGAGTTAGCGCCGTTCCAGTGTGATGACGTACCGTTGAAAAAAACGAAATTGTTCACAGGCTTGTCCGAGACGATGAGGCGATGCATGTACGACGTAGTGATTGCCGTTCACCGACGGGACGAGGCAGGGAGGCGACGCAGTGCTCAAAGAAACAACCCCCGTTGTCGGTTTCCTTCCCCAGTTTGTTGATTCTCCTGATACAGCCAGATAAGGGCGAGCGCCACGAAACACGAGTGCGGAGGCCCGATGGTATAATGTCCCGTTACGAGATCTAGTCGGGATGACGCAAGACACTTCACCTGCCTTTCGTTTAACATTGGTCAAGGACACATAGATCTACAAGCCTTACACTGGGCGCCAACACTATACAGCATAAAACAACGCCTCACTGAAACGCAATGAACAGCTGAAAAGCCCTAGCTACAACCATAAAATTGAGGTCTTTTTATCGGTCGACCAAACCGCGTGACATACGTGCCGGTGTACCGCTGTCCTGTGGAGCTAGCGAGTGGAAATTGAGCGCGGAAGGCTCCGTCCGAATCAAAATTCGTCTGACCCTCCAGATTCCCCAACCTGTTCCCCCTGATCCTTTGGGAAGTAACACGAAAAATCACCGTTGGCCCGTGCCTACTCTTTGTAGCATATAAAGCCTCGACAGTTCCTCTGCAGCTCAGCCCACATACGACATGCTCCACATACGACCGTGGCCGACAGGCTGGTCTCGTAACGTAGCCTGGACACGAAAGCCTTTCACCCGCACTCTGTCTCCAGGTGTAAACTTTGAAAGAGGGCCCGCCGCATGATGTTTGTCGCAGTTAGGTTTTTCTTCGTACCAGAACGGCTAATCTTTTTTTCCTGAGGCTCTTTTGGGGAAACTTTCCCTTGGCGGCGCCAACTTTTCCGGGTGCACTGGGAGCGTAGAGAGCAGACGTCTGCCCCTCAGCTGTTCGGACGGGCCTTTGCCTAGAGGACCCGGGTTGTTTGTGCACGCAAGAAAGGCCAAGTATGAACGTGCTAATTTTTATAGCAGCCATTTTACTGTGTAAATTGTGCGTTCGGCTACTCTACTGCCTTGTGGGTGTCGAGGGTTTGAGGTCACATGACGGAACCGTCTTTCTCGGTGAAGGCGTTCAATTCGGCCGACACAAACTGGCTTCCGTTATTCGTCATCAACGTTTCCGGAATACCACTTCAAGAGAACAAATCATGAGCCATTCCACTCTGTAAAGTTAAATGACAGAGCTAAGCTGCTCACTACACGGCACAGACGTGACAGCGAATTTCTAACAAAGGTACGAACATATGTATTGTCTTGATCGCTGGTCATCGTGATGAAAGGTACGCACACGCATGTCGAGGAGTATCGCCGCCCCGAGGAGCCGGAGGAAACTAGACACGCGCGACGGGACCGCCACTCGGCGGAAAGAAGAGAAACCAGGCACGCAAGCGCTTGGAACGACGAGAAAGAGAGGGCGATGCGACCCCTCTGAGTTTTTGTTGAAGCACAAGAAAAATCCGCGGAACCCTAGCCATTAACAGCTTGAGCGTAAAACCATTGGTTGGTGCATTGGTGTACTATTGTGCATAAATTTCCGTAGAACTCTGTCTGAGTGGCACAATAAGTTAGAGGGGGAGGGAGGGATAACGCTTCGCCAAGTCGCGTTTGATAGTCGCGTACACTGCCCGTGCCGCAGAGAACGCGAGCACGACTGCATGGCTACTGCCCAGAGCGATGAACGAATATTGCGGAATCACGACTGCCGGAGCGGCGTTCATCGCCGTTTCAATCAGACAGGAGCGCGTCGCGTTGAAGCGAGCAAATGAGCAAGCCAGCAGATAAGAAACTGCTGCAGAAACCACTATTGTTAGTTGTCTGTGAATTGCGAGGGAATTCGTTTAGGAGAACCTCAAGGACGCTGTGTCAGACGACGTCGAGAACGACATCCTAGAGGACGAAGACTAGGACAACCTCTAAGACAACGTCTAGAACGACGTCGATGACGGCGCCTAGAACGCAGCAAAGTAGAAATTTGAGCTAGTTGGTTCATGATCAGTATATACAGCGCCAAAAAACGACAGGACAAAGACGAGAGTAAACAGGACGAGGCGCACTCGCAACTAAAGTTTATTTAGGAAAAAACACATAATATATAGGCCGTTAAAAACGCCTATTCATCCCATCAATCCAGAAGACCTCTTGATAAAATCAAACTCTTTCCCTGAGAGGGCAAGGGAAGGCTCGCTAACGCATTCATCTCCCTTTGCTCTAGACCTAGAACGCCCTCTAGGGTGATCTTAAGTACGACCACAAGGACGATCTCTACGACGACCTCAAATACGACCTCAAGTACAACCTCTAGGATGACGTCTTTGACGTCGTCGAAGACGAGGTCCTAGAGGACAACGTCAAAGACAATCTAGAACGACCTCAAGAACGACCGCTAGAATCACGTCAAGGTCCTTCGAAGGGGGTGCGAATATGAAGGCTTGTGAGAGGGTGAGCTAGAATGGTCTAGTGCGCATACCTACTGCGAATTAGAAGGCCGGGGTGATCTTCGTGACGTCACTTCCGTTACAGATATTTTTGTGACGTGAATCTCCCGAATTTGCACCCCCTTTTTAGCGGGCCACCGTGTAAAGGATGTACGTTTAGCAATGTTTAACAACAATAGAATCTTAAAACGTTTCAGGATTAAAAGGACCGACGAGCTGTACCAGACAGAAATTATTTTGTCCAGTGAGGATGCCTGTGTCAGCGCGCCCTCAATTGCCATGGCACACAAAGAACTCAATTACCCATGTCTTATGCCATGAAGAATTCCACCTGCTAAGAAGTTTTAATTCATTCAGATTCAGAAAGCGTTTATCGGCCTTTTGGGGATGGATAGTGTGAGTGAGATCGGTGGCTTACAGCCTGGATCTATGGCCAGGGGAGGGGGATGAGGAAGGTTATAGATAAGCGGTCAGCCCCGCATTGCGAATGAAATCCAGCAAGCGTGTTCATGACAGCCCCCGATGTTTGCCGCCGGGGCCACACGCGCTGAATGGTTGTGCGCTC